GGGTCCCTGTTACTGGTCTGGGAAAGCAGAGGAAGATGGCCTAAATATCTGGGAAACTGCTACCTGTGTCAGAGACCTGGATGAGGTTCCTGGCTTCAGCCTGGCCCAGCCCTGGCTGTTGTGGCTATCTGAAGAAGTGAACTAGAGGGTGGCAAACTCTGTATCTACCTCTCTGTTTCAAGTAAATGAAGTCTTTAAAAAAAAAATAAAATAAACAAAACAGGAAAACTAACGACTGCATACCCCGAGAGAAAGCAGGTGGCTAAAACAGTTGGATCTCTGTCAGCAACATGGGAGTCTGGAATCCCAGGTCCAGATGCTGTGAGCAATCATGTCACTCTATTGCATTCTTTCAGCTATTCTTTTCTTTTCTTCTTTTCTTTTTTTTTTTTTTAAGATTTTTTTATTGCAAAGGAAGACTTACAGTGAGGAGAAAGATTTTCCACCTGCTGGTTCACTTCCCAAATAACTGCATTGGCTGAAGCTGATCCCATCTGAAGCCAGGAGCCTCTTCTGAGCCTCCTGCGCAGATAGAGTCCCAAGGCTGGGCCGTCCTCCACTGCTCTCCCAGGCCACAGTAGGGAGCTGGATGGGCAGCAGAGCAGCCGGGACACAAACTGGCACTCACATGGGATCCCAGAGCTTGCAAGTGGAGTAGCCAATCAAGTCACCAAGCCAGGTCCCAGATAGTTCAAGAAACAAACAACAGAAATGTCAACTGAATTTTAAAAATCAGAGTGGATCCATCTGTATAGCACTATTCAAATGTGTAACATTTAACTGTCCTGGGCTAATGTCCCCTCAGTCTAGGTCCACTGGGAACATGTGCCCAGCGCTTTGGTAGAAGTAATCATCATGAGGCTACAATGGGTTAGGGTAGCCCTGATCAGGGTCTTTGTAAAGAGGGGTACTAGATACAGACTTGTACACCAGGGAAACGCCACATGGGGCAGAAATTGGGGTGACACAGCTGCAAGGCAAGGGGCCCCTGGGAGGGCTATTAACCCCCACATGCTGGAAGAGTGAGGAAATAGGGCTCTGCTCTCACCTGGCTTGGATTTCCAGCCTCTCATGCCAGGAGGGTAAGTCAGCTGTTGCCACTGGCTAGCCAATTTGTGATTTGTTATGGCAAACCTAGCAAACCAACATGGCGACCAGCCCACATGCTGTACAAGTCTGACCTACAAGTAGTTGTCACTCCAAGTGACAGAAGGCCATACAAAGTGACCTATTTCTTTTTAGTCACTAAACTGCTTTCTAATACAGCAAAAAGAACCCTATTTAGAAAAACCTTTTGCAGTAACATTTTTAAAAGACTTTTTCACGGAAAAGACAGAGAGAAGAGGACACACAGAGATCTTCTCTCCACTAGTTTACTCCCCAGTTGGCCACAAAGGCCAGAGCTGGCTTGGTCAAGAGCCAGGAGCCAGGAGATCCTTCCAGGTCTCCCCTAAGGGTAAAGGAGCCCAAGGACCTGAGTCAGCCTTTGCTACTTCCCCAGGACACAGTGAGTAGCCTGTAAGTAGCCATAGATAGGGAGCAGGGTCAGGAGTGGAATGGTCAAAACCGAGCTGAGCACCCATACAGGATGCTGGCACCATAGGAAGAGGTTTTATGTGCTATGCCAAGGCACGACTAACACAGCCTTATTTACTTCTAAAAATACACTTTACTGGGGGAAAAAATCTAGAGTTTTACTTGAAATGCAGAGTGACAGAGGGAGAGAGGAAGAAAGAAGCAAAGAGATTCTCCATCCACTGGTTTGCTCTCAAAATACAACTTCATCTGGTTTCCACAGGGATGGCAGGGACCTGAGTACTTGGTCATCATTTGCTGTTTTCTCAGGCACGTTAGGAGGAAGCTGGAGCAGAAGCAGAGCAGGCCAGATGTGAACATCACTCCCATCTGGGGATGTGGGCATTCTGTGCCACCCAAAGACTTCTTTTTTTTTTTTTTTAAGAAGATTGTCTCATTGAAGCATAATTTGTACTATTCAAGAAAGTCAATTTCTGATGACGAAATGACGCTATTTTACAAAAGGATCACAATTTTTTTGGGGTTTTTTTTTGTTTTTTTTTTTCAATTTGTGTTTCTATTTCTTTTTTTTTTGTTTTGTTTTGTTTGGTTTTTTTGTTTTTTTTTTCAGTTTGTGTTTCTATTTCTTTTTCTTTTTTTAATAAAATTTATTTTGACATTCTTTACATAGTTAATTAGGGTAAGAAGGTTCAAGGGCTACAGGAAAGTGGATAATACTAGTATGTTTTCCATATTGTTACCTTCATGTTTAAAGGGAGGTATTAAGGGAGAAGGCCCACCCAATTTCCCACCCTCCCCTGGTCCCGGATGTAGGGCATGCTCTGAGGTTCTTGCTCAAGTGGTTTTGATATTGCAACTGTTATGAATGGCTGTCAATCTTGCCACTCCAAGCACTATGAGGTCCTTGAAGAATCCACTGGTTGACATAGTCCATCATAGCTGAGATGGTTGGTTGCCCTGTTCTGTCTTCTCTCTTTTCTTCGTTAGGGTTCTGAGTCCAGCATTTAGATTAGGAAGATCTCCAAAGAAACTTCTTGTATGTGCTAACAAGTACAGGGCCTGGCACCGTCCATCGCTCCAATCAGCTAGTGGTTGCAATTGCTGGGTTGGTTCTGTTTTCACTCCCGACTTCCACTGGAACCAATGGGTGTTGCAGTCCAGCCTGGTTCTGCCCAGCACATACTTGGCCCTCACATAAACCAGTGGGAGCTGCAGCCTAGTTGGAGCGACCTGCAATAACCCCCACCAGGCCCGCCCCCTACCCTGGTTTGCCAGTAAGTGTAGCAGTAATCCAGTCTGTCCCACACCCCATTCAACCCCAGCCACTCTTAGTTTTATGTCCTCCTGTGGAAGTGGCAGCCCAAGAGGGATGAGCCCACTGTTTCCCTCCCAGGCCTCTCCCACTCCCAGATTCCAGCTGATGCTGCGTCTAAGCCCAAACAACCCTCACCCACTTTAATTCTGTTTGCACCAGTAGGAATAATCCGCCCAGCCCGGCTTTTCCCTGATCTAGTCCACATGGGGCGCACAGGTGTGGCAGCTCTGCCTAGTCTGGTCTGCCCCCATCCCAGCCTATGCTCTCCTGCGGAAGTAGCTGTCCAGCAAAGGAACCCTCCCTTATTCCCCTGCTGGCTCTGCCCACTTCCTTTCTTGTTCTCAGGCTGGTTGGGCGCTGTGGTCCCTTCCAGTACAGGCAACCTCACCTCGGCATTCCATATTGTGCACTAGTCTTTGTTGCGACCAAACCTGGTTCGACCCACACTGGTGCCTGGATTTGCCAGTGGATGACGTGGACAGATTCAGCCTGGTCTTGCCCCCACGCCTGCCAATTGTATGCCAGTGGGTAGCTTTCCATGGCCTTTTCTGGGCTGTTTCCTATCATGTTTCTTGCGCTCACCTTCCGGGTCTGTGTCCTGCCAGAAGAGTTGCCCAGGCTCCTCCATCAAAACCTCTCCCAATGCCAGGTTTCACGCTTACCAGTGGGTCCATGAGCCAACCCTACTCAGTCCACCTCCTGTCATAGCAGGAACTGTGGCTTTTCCTGACTGGCCTTCCACCCAATCTGGTTCTTGCTGTTGGATGTTCCAGCCCAGCCATGGTTTGTCCATACCCACGTATGGCTCACACATGGCTCAGTAGGGGTTTGAGACCTTGCCTAGTCCATCCCACATCTGCCCTGGTCCTCCAGGACACCAGGGGGTGTTGGGGTCCGGCCCGGTTCGGTGCATTCAATCCCAGTCCACACTTGTGCCAAGGGAGACTACAACTGTTTCCAGATCAGAACGCAGCCCCCCTTCCAGGCCACACGCCTCTTGGTGGGAACCTCAGCCCAGCTAGGTTTGTCCCCTTTGCTCTCCAACCGGGTCTGTTCCCAGCCATAGATCACTTGCCTGCCAGTGGATGCTCTGACCCAGCTTGGCACAGCTCCTCCCCTGTCCCGAACTCTGCCTTAGACACTGTGGCTTTGCGTCCCTGGCTCCCGCAGACCAGTAGGTACAGGAGCCTAGCTCGGCATGACCTTTGCTCCCTCCTGGTTTCTAGTTTTACTTGTGGGCTAAGGTTTGCTCAGTCGTGCCTGATCTACTCTGTTCCCTTACCAGTTGACACATTAGCAAGCTGTTGGAGCTATTTTTGCAGGACAAGCCCCAAGCCATAGTTTCTGCATGGACTGGTATTTGGTGCTCAGCATTATTAGTGATTACAAGTTTTACAAAGGAAGAGTTACTGCCTGTTTCAGGTCCAAGAAGCACAATGGGTTCAACCTGGAGCTAATTAAGCAGCGACTCAAAGAACCAAATCCCCAGAGCTCCACAGCCAGGCAGCCAGCAGGCGGAGCCTGGCACCAAATGGCGCACTGGCCGCACAGGGAACGGCTCACCATGTGCACATGGCGGCCATCCGGGATCCAGGCATGAGACGCCCCGTTCTGAGACCCACCAGCTGCCGGGAGGCTGCTGGAGGTTTAAATAACCCAGGGCCAAGGTCGTGCCCCTCCCAAATCCCATTCACCACCCCATGAAGGCGGCGGGTGCGTCCCGGACCTGCCCAGTCCCGGAGGCTTCCCCCCTCGGTCTACTCACCCCGAAGGAAGCAGCCCCTGGAACCCAGCAGGCCCGGGGAATGGCTCACCATGTGCACATGGCAGCTGTCCGGGATCCAGGCATGAGATGCCCCGTCCTGAGACCCACCGGGATCACAATTTTTTAAAAACAGATTTATTTTTAAGATTTTTCTTGGAAAGTCAGACATACAGACATACAGAGAGGAGGAGAGACAGAGAGGAAGCTCTTCCATCCACTGGTTCACTTCCCAAGTGGCTGCAAAAGCTGGACCTGAGCCTATCTGAAGCCAGGAGCTTCTTCCAGGTCTCCTATGTGGGTGCAGGTTCCCAAGGCTTTGGGCTGTCCTCGACTGCTTTCTCAGGCAACAAGCAGGTTGCTGGATGGGAAGTGGGGCCACCAGGACATGAATTGGTGGCCATATGGGATCCCGGTGCGTGCAAGGCGAGAACTTCAGCCACCAGCCTATCATGCCAGGCCCGGGATCACAGTTTTATTATACATTGTCTCTGTATGATTTAACAATTTCAGAAGTGCAGTTGGATTGTATGGGAAAAGATTTTTCTTCTGCAAACGGGAAATGGCACTCTGGAGCTCCCGGAAGCATTTCACTGTTCTGTGAAGTAGTCCTGCTGCACAAGCACTGCCTTTGGAGGCCACCTCACCACCAGCACAGCAGGAAGTCTCTCGGATCAGCTCTTGACCTCCACTGCTGCCAGCTGGGGCAGGGGTTGCCCTGACTGCTGTTTGCTGCAAAGATGGCTGCTGGCTACTGGCCAGGCTTTGGCCTGTGCACTCTCCTTCAGAATCATCCGAGCTGTCGTAATTTACCAGACTTGAAGGGACCTGAAGAGAAGATGAACGATGAGCCTGCATGGTGTGGGTCACCACCGAGGACACAGCCTCGCTCAAGTGTTCACCAGGAACATGGGAAGCCCCGGGGACCCGAGCTCGAATCCCACCGCGACTGGGAAAGGCAGTCACTCGGCAGGGAGCTGTCCGGCTGCTGCTTGTGCCTTGAGCCAGTGAGGGTACACAACCACAGGTATGGATGCCCAGTTCAGATGTAGGTCCATCAGAAGACTTGCAAATGGTCAAGAAAATATTCCACTCTTTTTGCAGTAGCTTTAAATACCTGACAAAATACTCAAGAAAACAAGTCTCTGATGAAATCAAAAAGTCAAGAAGAACTGAAGAATCAAATCCTACATTTTTTAAGAAGAACAGGAAAATACAATGCGGATTGCAGCCGTTTTCATGCATATGACGGTCCCACCTTTCTCCTTCTGGGGCCAGGTTTTCAGTGGCTTCCCATTCTCTGAAAGGATGAGAATGGAAAACTCAGATTAACAACTTTTATGGAAACGGAGGGTTTTTTTTTTTTAAAGATTTATGTTTCTTTTTATTGGAAAAGTAGATCAGATTTACAGAGCGATAAAAATCTTCCATCCATTCATTTACTCCCCAAATGGCTGCTAAGGCCAGGGCTGAGCTGATCTGAAGCTAGGAGCCAGGAGCTTTTTCCAGGTCTCCCATGCGGTTGGCAGGGTCCCAAGGCTTTGAACCATCCTCTACTGCTTTCCCACAGGCCAGAAGCAGGCAGCTGGATGGGAAGTGGAGCAGCTGGAACAAGAACTGGTGCCCACATGGGATCCCAGTGCAAGCAAAGAAAGGATGTAGGCATTGAGACATTGTGCCAGGCCTGAAAATGAATTTTAACAGCTGTAATCCACAAAACCACCTATCAAATTATTGTTAAACCTGAAAACTTTCAAAACCCATACCTTTCCCCACAAATCCTACATAAGCCTGACGACAACAGAAAACCCACTGACTTCAGTAGTCCTGGTTTGTGTCTGCTCAACAAGTCATCAGTTTCTTCATTCTCAGGGTGGTTGGAGCCTACACCTCCTTCTTTAGGCACCCCGAGGAGCCCAGTGCACATGACCTGGACCAAGCCATCAGGGCACCCCATGCTGCTGGCCACAAGGTCATTCAGTCAAGAGTGTGGACTCCCATGGCCGGAGCAGGTTGTGCTGACACTCAGGCAGGCCCCATGAGGCTGATGGAGACACAGGGTCCTGGTGGTCACTGACAGCTGTGAGGTGGAGAAACAGAGCCGCCATCACGACACGGCTTGAATCCCTGTACGCATGGGAGGCCAACTTGGCCTCCTCAGATTCGAATTCCTACAAAAGCCCCAAATTCCATCGTTTGGTTCATCTTTGGATTTTATGGTTTACAATAAAAAAAAAAAAAAACCAAAAGACCCCAAACCATGCACATGGGGGTACACACACACAAACCCACCCTTAATACAACTACATTAAAAACTACATCTGTCATGAGAACGTGCCCTCTGGATACGTGGCACTGAAGTCTACAAAGCGAGCAGTCCACGGGCCGAGCAAGGCAGAGCCGGGCTTTCTCTGTCCCGGGCGGCACAAGGCCAACTTTGAGAGCAATCAAGATACGTGCACTTGCAGGCCTGTGCGTTTTCAGATGGAATTTGTATTTGACCATTTCTGAGCCTAATTCAAATCACATGCAGGAATTTCTGTTTTCTTGATTAGAACCTTCTGGAAGTTGGCCCCAAGCACTTCCAGGCTGAGTTGCCACTGCCAGTGGGGTCACGGCACAAGGAAGTGCTGGCGGCTCAGCACCACATCACCAGTCATGGGAAAGAGATCCCTTCCTCCTGTGCCAAGGCAGAGATGGAAATGAAGCGAAGACTTCAGGATTTTAATAAAGTAGAAGCAGAAATGGTGGAAGAGGTCATCAGTCATTAACTTCAGAAGCAATCATGGCAGCTGTTGCAACAAACCAGAATCTGTAGAAAATGCTACGGGTAACATAACTTTATAAACCAATTTTGGGGATTTGCCTTAAAACTGTATCTACCCAAATCCAACTACATATTAAAATAAAAATCCAGAACTGTGCTTCGGGTTATTTGTAGATCTGTACTCACCTTTATAAAGGGAAAAATGACACTCCGGACGCTCAGCACAGCCAAGTCAGTCATGCAGATGACGAACGCACTACTCCACTGCTCACCTACCTGGAGGCGCACAGCAGCTTCCCCATCACCAGGTGAAATAGGTGGAGGTTCAAGCGGGAGCCAGGCTCTCAGACCCCAGGCCGGCTCAGGCACCCCGGGCCGGCTCAGGCACCTCAGTTGGCTCAGTCATCCTGGGCCTGCCCAGCTAGCCAGCTTCTCAGGGTAATCCAAGTGTGGTCTCCTTTCTTGGAGGGCAGAGCCAAGAAGGGAAGGAGATAATACACACCACACATGCTCAGGAACATTTCCTACATTCCCGATGTGCAGACAGCCCAACAACTGCTTGAACACACACTGACCTGGTCACCTTGCTGTAGATGCCCAGCGATGCCTTGGCAGCCTCCAGCATGTCATCGTCTTGCTCTATGAAGACCCTCGACAGCCATTCACAGGGACCGTGCAGCTGCAGTGAGGAGTGCAGGGGAGGTGTCACGAAGGTCAGCAACGCAGACATGTACTTCTGCAAATCAACTTGCAAAATGCAGGCAACAGCTGATAACCCGTCCTAACACTGCACCTGCACATGCATGCATGGTGTCCCTAGGACCTTAAAATGCACAAGTGCAGTTCCCACGTTCAAAGTCCTGTGAGATCATCTTCGTGTTGCAAATGAGAAAGGTAAGACTGGGGGGCGGGAGGGAGAGTGAACTTTTCAAGAACATGCATCTGAAGTGACTTTCCCAAGGACTTTAACGGAAAGGTCCAGCGAGACAGTCTGACATCACTGCCGGATTACCAGTGACCTCTGAGGAGGGAAAGCTAAGAGCGTGACCGCCGAGCAGGCAACACGGAGCACTTCTGGTGTCAAAACTGTTACTCCAGCTGGTTTCTAGGGTTACAATGCAACCCAAGAAAGATAATTTTGCCTTCAAAATATCTGGTTAGTCTACTTTTCATTTGCTGAAAGTAACATTAAGCATAAAATTTACAAAAAAAAATTTTTTTTTGCTGGAGTTTTTACCGCAATTGGTAACTCTGAATTATGTAACACATGCCACCTGGTGTTGTGAACTGCAACTGCAAGGTCTATGAGCTTGTTCCTAAGAGCTGTGGAGCTGCAGCCTGCCTCTGCCCACAGCTCCGACCTTGCACTGGAGCTGCCAGGCTGCTGCCAGGGGCATTTCCTTCCACTCAGCTTTCTCAAACTGCAGGACTTGTCTCCCCCAGCACTGGAACTAGAAACCAGGCTCTGTATTTTTCACATGGATTTCATTGAACTTTCCACTTAACATCCTAGAAATAAATATATGCAAAGATGTCTCCATTCATGTAACTTTCTACACGTTAGTTTCAATTCATTTTCTAATGATCAATAATCTAATTTTATGAGGGATGAAAATACCATAAATATTTGCACATTTCTTGATTTCTATCACTTACTTATAGGGAACACAAGAGCAACTTATTAGTTTGGGGGACAAGCACGGTAGCCTAGTGGCTAAAGTCCTCGCCTCGTATATGCTGGGATCCCATATGGGTGCCCATTCATGTCCCAGCGGCTCCACTTCCCATCCAGCTCCTTGCTTGTGGCCTGGGAAAGCAGTAGAGGACACCCAAAGCCTTGGGAACCTGCACTCACCCAAATGGGAGACCCAGAAGAAGCTCCTGGCTCCTGGCTTTGGATCGGCTCAGCTCCAGCCGTTGCAGCCACTTGGGGAGTGAACTAATGGACAGAAGCTCTTTCTGCTTCTCCTTCTCTGTGTAAACCTGATGTTCCAATAAAAACTAATAAATCTTTTAAAAAATTAATCAATTAGCTTATTTTGAAAGGCAGACAGAGAGACACAGAGATCTCCCACAGACTCCCTGACAACAGCCATGGCTGTGCGGGATGAAGCCAAGAACTGGAAGTTAAGCCAGGTCTCTCACAGCGGTGGCAGGGATGTTAAGCACTTCAGCCATCACGGCCCCTCCCAGGCTGCACATCAGCAGGAAGCGGGAGTTGGAAGTGCAGCCTGGACTTGAACCCTGGCACTCAGGCAGGGAACACAGGTGTCTGGTGTGGTGTGTTCCACAGCTGTGCCAAGTGCCCTCCCCAAAAGCAACTTTATAAAAAACCTACCATCCTTTAGGCTATGTAAATTCAGGTGCAATTCACAAAAAGCAGACATGTTTCTTACAGTAATTTTAGATTTTTTTTTTGAGGAGGAAGAAGGAAGAAAATTTAATGGACTAAATTAAGATCACACAGCACTTAAATGAGCGGAATTTGTACTGGTCCTGAGCTCTGGTAACTCTGAACTATACTTAATTTGATAATCACTACTTTGTACACAAATGGATTTCAGAGAATTACCTGTCATTTCATTAGCTGAGGTACAACTCTGAAACTTGATTTCCAAGGATTTCACGAGCACCAGGCTCACGGCCCTGCGGATCACAGGATCTGGAGCAGAGCACTGTCCCACTGTGGGCTGGGCTCTGTCGCCTCCGAAGCAGGAAGGCGTCCCATGGACAGACAGCGTCTTCAGCAGCCCCAGAGCCACTGCCTGGAGAACAGCGTCCGCCAGAGCCGAGGTGTCGGCATCAGCAGGATGGCCCGGCATCACACACGTGGGCACGGGTGCCCGGCACAGGTCCTCTCCCACTGTCCCAAGAAGGCACTTTTTGATGAGTAGGAAGAGTTTCCTTTGGACAAAAGCCTCAACAGGCCACATAATCACATCTAGCATGCAAGAAGGCTTCAAAAATAAGATCCTCTGGCAAGTGAAGTGTGATTTCAGGAAGACCCTGGAGGCGCTGAGCAGTTCAAGCAGCTCCAGGAAGCTCAGCAGGTTGGTAACGAGTTCATGAGGAGCTTGGCAGTGTTCAAAATGCTGAGAAAACAGGGAATCATAGAAAACTTCCAGAGCTGCGTCCAAAGGGGTCAGCAGCTGCCGGACAATTTCTGCAGATACAAGAACAGCCATTGTTACCAAAAGAAAAAACAGCTCATTAAAGCATAATTTTACAGTGTAGTTCTTTTAATAAATGTCATATATATATATATATATAAAAAAAAGATGCTATGGAATTATTATTTGCAGTGTGAACAGAATGTGAAGCCAGTAACCCCACTTGACAAGTACCAAGAACAACTAACACCCAGGATGCACCGTAAGGAAAAGCTTTTGTTTCCCTTGTAACTTTCCTTTTTGTTTCAAAAAGTTAGGGTTAGGGTGCCCTCTGGGCACAGCACGCAGGTAAAGCTGACATCTGCACTGCTGGCATCTCCTGTGCACCCAGGTTCAAGGCCTGGCTGCTCTAATTCTGATCCACCTCCCTGTTAACGCATCTGGAAAGCAGTGGAAGACAGCCCAAGTACGTGGGCCCCTGCATCCACATGTGAAGCCAGGATGAAGCTCCTGGCTCACTGTGGTCGCTGTGGCCACTGTGGAGTGAACTAGTAGGACAGAAGATGCTGCAGCTTTTCCTAGTTCAAGACAGACCAGGTACACAGTATTCTGTCCACCTTTATTCTTCATCGTAAAAATAATGCTCCTGGGAATCAGACAGTTGTTCACATGGCAGTACGTTCTTACCTGCTTTCTGGGAACTTGTATCTTTGAAGATTTCCTTTATTGCAACTGTAAGAGTACACAGACAGTATATTGCTTTATCACTCTTCGGGTAGTCAGAAAGACTTTTTTGGCAAAACGCAATGCAAGAGTCACTCAATGGCATCTACAAGTGAGAACACGAAAAAGCTGCTTATAATACGGTAGCTTCTTTGCGGTTACAAATCAGTTGCAATATGTGGTACATACAACATTGTCAAAGGATGTATGATAACACGTGGTGAGACAAGTTTAGACAGAAATTTAACGTTCTGTAAGCCACGCCATTCACACTGCTACGGCACAAAGCCTCAGAGGGAAACATGAGCGTCAGTGCTGAGGCACAGTGGAAGAAGCCGCCGTCTGCCATGCTATAGCATCCACACTGTGCTCCAGTTCTGTCCCAGCTGCTCCACTTCCCAGCCAGCACCCTGCTGATGCCTGGGAAAGCAGCAGCAGATATTCCAAGTGCTTGGGCCCCTGCACCCACACGGGAGACCCGGATGAAGCTCCTGGCTCGTGCTTTTGGCCGGGTTCGGCTCCAGCAGCTGTAGCCGTTTAGGGAAGAACCAGCGAATGCAAGATATCTGTCTCTCCCCTCTCCCTCTGTAACTCTTTCAAAGGAAACAAGGAAGGCTCAGCAGAGCTAACTCTGGTTTCTAAAATGACATGCTTTTGTTCTTTACACTGTGTTCCAGTTTTCAAGTTTTCTATTATAAATAAGCACTTTTGCTTTAAGAAAACCTAATTCTAAAAAAAAAAAAAAAGAAAATCTAACTGAAATAAGCCAACATATGCATATAAATTTCTTTATTAGTAATTCAGATAAGAAATCTGATTCTTAATTTATCGAGTTTGCTTTTTATTACATTGTAAACTCACTTAAGCTGTGGAACAGGCCCTTGGGCTCAGGTCAAGGCCTCTACGTCCAGGGCAGAGGGGGCTTCCTTCCTGTAGGCTCATCCCTTGGATTAAGAATCTGATTTACGGGCCGGCGTGATGGCTTGAATGGCTAATCCTCCCCTTGCAAGTGCTGGGATCCATACGGGCACTGGTTCATGACCTGGCTGTTCCAATTCCCATCCAGCTCCCTGTGTGAGGCCTGGGAAAGCAGTCGAGGATGGCCCAAAGCCTCAGGACCCTGCATCCATGTGGGAGACCTGGAAGAAGCTCCTGGCTCCTGCTTACAATTGGCTCAGCTCTGGCTAGTGCAGCCACTTCCGAAGTGAACCAGTAGTTGGAAGATCTTTCTGTCTCTCCTTCTCTCTATAAATCTGATTCATTATGATTTATTCAAGACTAACCCTTGATAAATACCACTGTCACACTACTCCATTCTTACATTTCTGTGGATTGGCACAATATTATGTGAGCCAACACTTGAATATCACACATATCTGAAGGATGAAATTTTAAAGGAACCATAAAAGAAATAACAACAAAATTTTGTCACTTACCTTTTCTTTCAGTTGGAAATACAGAAGCAACCCAAGACACTTTGTGGCCATGTGGGATAACAATTTATCCGAGTTGTGGAACATACAGATCTGTGGGAAACAAATACATTTAATCCACTGCTGCTGGATGTCTCTTATTGTAAGCATCCAGGTCTCTGAAAAACAACAACCAACAGCTCACCAATTTGGAATCGACTTCAGTCGACCGTACAAGCCTGCTGACCACATCTCTGTACTTGGCCCTGACACGGCTCTCGGTGTGGATGGAGGAGGCCCGGGCCAGCAGCACCTGGATTACCGTCAGCTGAAGCAGCACCAGCTCCCGGGTGCTGCTGCTCTGCTGGCTGCTTCTTACACACGTGGGTGCTACCGAGGCGGGAGCTGTGCAGACAGAGGCCAGCTGGGGCTCCTCCTGGCCGTCCTGGGCGCCTGCCCACTCGGCGCAGGAGATGGTGGAGTGACCCTGACCCGGCACTGCTGGGCTGAGATAACAGGTGTAATGAAGGCTGTCATCTTCGAGTATGGCTCCAAGAAGTACTTTGTTGTATAACTCTTCCAAAACTTCATGGGAAGCTTTCATTTTGCCTTCCGTAAGGATGACAATTTTCCAGCTGTAAATATTTGTGTTTTCAGAAATGTGGTGAATCTATAAACTATTTCTTCAGGAAAGCCTAAAATACAAAGAATTAAAAATTGCATGTATTACTCATATATGAACAAGATAAAAGCAAAGTTTCCATTAAATCAGTTTCCCCAGGTAAAGCGAGTGTTGATTGCTGAATTTCTAAAATGCAAAGTAGTAATAGGCATTATTTTTTTTAACAAATAGCAATGAAATGTACGTTCTGCATACAATTTAAGAACATAAGCCCTTTGTAATCTTACCACAGCAGAAACTTGAGCTCTCCCCTCCCGTTCCTCAGTGGGCCCTGGCACTGTAACCTGTGAACCACATGGCCGTGGGGCAGCTGTCTGGAGCACCACAGCTGTCCAGCAGCATTCCCGCCCTCCACAGGCCCAAGGCGTTCCCCCTCACCTGCCAAGGTGAGACAGGCAAAAAAAGGTCTGTTGATGTAGTTGAATGTCCCTTGCGGGCCACTGGCTTAGCTCTAATTCATCAACCTTTACCTTCAATTTAGATGAAAACCTAAAGCTGCATTGCTATAAGGTCACACATTATTACGGCTACTGCTGATTAATTTCCAACTTCATATGCAAATAGTAAGAGCTCCTGATTATCACCTGTAGCATTAAATAAAATGACAGGGAGCTTAGAGCACAGAGTACAAGTACCACAGCAAGAGGGAGGTGAGTGCAGACTCGGGAGTGAGCAGAGATTCCTGGGTGTCTTCTCAATGCAACACTCGGGCCCCTGGGTAGAGCCTCACCTGATGGGGCCTGGCCCCTCTCCTGCTTCTGAGCTATTGTACACCACCCCTGCATCACTGCTTACAGTGCAAGCATCCACAGACTATGGGAAAAGCAAGTTTTGCTTTCATCAGCAAGCATTTCCTTACTCCAAGAAGTTCATAGTTATTGCTTTAAAAGCAGTATTACATCTGCCTGTTTCCTTAATGCGTTCAATAACATCTTTGTATGTGCTCATATGGGGGTGATCTGTTCTCATAAAGTCTATCCTTGAACAAAACCCACACCTCTTACTCCTGGCTCCCACATGTCTACAAATTCCTGCCCCCCTGGACTTCTTCCCCACAGGAAGGGGCCTAATTTCTACAATAAAAGCCTGTGGAATTTTTGCGAATAACTACTTTCCATCACTCAGTACCTTGAGTGTACCAGGTTATCTGGGTGAGCTTTACAACATACTCACAAGGTAAGAAAATATCACACTCATGTCACAGATTAGGAAACTAAAGAGCAGAGGGGTTAAGCCAAGATCTGAAGCAGAACTTCAGAGCCGGAGCCCTTCGGCATCAGGACTGCGGGGCCTGCTCAGTCTTCCTCTGGTGCTTGGTTGGCTGGGACACTTCCATCCAGCAACCCTCCTAAGCTTATGCAGTAACTTACACAGCCTGATCATCCACCTTCCTCAAGATCATACTACTGAACACTGCTTCTCACTGTCCGTACACGCTGTACAAACCCTAAAGTCCAGGAGGTTAACTGCTGTGCAGCTTTCCCATGGGAACTACACTTCATTTTTTTCAAAAGCCGCCATGCAACCCAAGGTTGAAGGACATGTTAGAAGTGACTCAATGGTATATTTCTGCAGGACTTAGCTTAGCCTAAGAACAGCCATGATGCCAGGGCCACGTGCCCAGCCACAAGTGGAGAAAACCCAAAGCTCAACTGATGAGCTCGCTAGCAGAAATGGGTGGAACAGGTCCTGTCTTAGTAGAATCCAGGCATGAGACAGAGGAATGGCCAGCAGGGGAACACAGTTTGGGGAGGCAGAGCATCCATCACCATGGCTGGGCATCTCTCTGTGTAGAATCAAAGTGCCTAATTTACATCCAGACTGGGGTTTCTACGGGAAGAGGGCTCCACCTTTTCATACTCCTCCCCTTTCTCTCCTCCCTCTCCCCTGAACAAGATTTGTTGAGTGTGAATTACGCCAAATTACTCCCAAGATTTCATTACCTAGAGTTACCAGGCTGGGCACACCACAGGTTATCACCCCTGGCATACAGTGTTCTAGGGTGCTTTCCTAGGAAGGCTGTGAAGGTTTCACCGCACGTCACTAGGCTGAGTAGCCCACCTGCTGCAGGTAGAGGAGACGCCCTCAGGAGCCTTTCTGTGGCAGAAGGCTGGGACCACCTGCAAGGCTGCTGGACTCAGTAAAAGGCTGGGTTGCTTCTAAGGTTTGCTTCCAAGACCATCACACTGTTCCTAAACGCCGACGGTGTAAACCCTTTCTCCTCTCCCATCCTGCCTGCTCCACAATACCCAACACCTACCAGCTCTCCTTCCCCTTGCTTCAGATACCACATCACATGTAGGCCGTGACTGCAGGCCTGCTTGACCACAGGGAGCTGGGAGAGAGGGTCCCTGAGTAATAAGAGGAGCTGAAGGCCTGAGGCGGGGCCTGCTACCACCTGCTGCCCACCACTTGGAAGACTGGGCACCAGAAAACACCACACTTTGCGCTTCCTTCCTGAGTCCACCCTGTGGTGGGAACGTGGTGTCAGGTGGCTTGTTTCCCACAAACATCCATTAATTTTTTTTGTCAAAATTACTTTCATCAACTATACCAAACCCAGAAATATCCTCACAGGAAGTCAAATTACTCACTGATTCTATTTTAGTATCAGCTCATAAATAGCTGACAGCCATTACAGAAATGAATGTGTAAAATCTGGCCTTGCTTTTTCACCATTTAAAATAATTTCAACTTTCCACAAAAAAAAAAAAACAAACAAAAAAAAAAAAACAGCCCAAAATGGAGTGCTGCTGTAAAAAGTTGAAAATGAAGCATTTTAATAAGAACTGAGAGGGCCCGGCGTGATGGCGCAGTGGTTAAGGTCCTCACCTTGCACGCCCAGGATCCCATATGGGCGCCGGTTCTAATTCCAGCAGTCCCACTTCCCTTCCAGCTCCCTGCCTGTAGCCCGGGAAAGCAGTCGAGGACGGCCCAAAGCCTTGGGAACCTGCACCCGCGTGGGAGACCCGGAAGAGGCTCCTGGCTTTGGATCGGCATAGTATCGGCCGTTGCGCTCACTTGGGGAGTGAATCATCGGACGGAAGATCTTCCTCTCTGTCTCTCCTCTCTGTATATCTGCCTTTCCAATAAAAATAAAATAAATCATTAAAAAAAAATAAGAACTGAGAGAGAGAGAGAGAGAAACAAACTAGGAGGAAGTCCTTCAGCCTGAAGGCTAGACAGAGTTCACAGCCTTGATTCTCAAACTCACAACTGATAAAAAAGACTTCAACAAAGAGAAAGTTCGACTCTGTGGAAAATCCTAGTAAGAGAATGGAAGACAAGCATGACTGATAAACGGTCAGCATTCAGAGTAAAGAACTCTTAAAACTCAACATTAGAAAAATAATTCAAGAAGAGATGTGCAAGAGATACAAACATTCATTAAAGTGGCAACTGAGATGGTAACAAGCACCTCACAGGTGTTCAACCACGGCAGCCACCAGAGTAACAGGAAGAAGCAGCGAGAGCAAACGCTGGCAAGGGTGTGAAAATGCAAAATGGCACAGCTACACCGGAGAAGTGGCACTGCTCCCTGCTCCAAGGCCTCGGCCCTGTAATCCACATGGGAGATTCAGAAGCAGCTCCAGGCCGCCAGCTTCGGACCAGCCCTGGCTGTTGTGGCTATCTGAGGAGCGCACCTGTGCACAGAAGCTCTCTCGGTTTCTCTCTCAATCTCTGCAACCCTTTCATGTAAAAATAAATGACCCTGGGGGGTGGGGTAGAGGAAAGAGCTGAGCTGTGGATACCAGCATCAGCGTGAGAGGACCTTCAGCGAAGCTGTGCTGGGCACTGCTCCCTACACAGGCAAACAGCCCTCCAAGTGGGCCGGAGCTTCCTGGGAGCAGCTGGGAGGCCGCCATGGAAGGCACCCCCACACACAGACCAGAAGCCCACAGCCAAGGAAGGGCCTCTTGCACATGAAGATTCTGCTGTTAGGACGCAAGGGTGGTACCCTAACTGAATTCACAGACAGGGTGGAGGTCAGCACATGTGAGGCTTGCCGGGTCTTCCACACAGTTTAACCCCACATGGGGTTGTCATGGCGTCTCCTCCTTCCTGGTCCCTGACCAGACACAGGTGCATCATGGGAAAGTGGGTGTACTTTGTAGATAAGGAAGGGGGAGGGGTTACAATGCAGCAGGTAGACAGAGACTGGCTGCAGCTCTGGTCCGCCTCACCCTTCTGGCCTAGCTCCTTCACATCTAGGCGCACACATCCCAACAAATACAAGTAGTATGGGAAATCCCAGGAAGACTGGTGCACTGTACCAGGAACCTGTCCTGACTAACACTATACTGAGCTTTGTAAGATGCTAACCTTGCTGGACATGAGGCAACGGCTACAAGAAGGTATTATTTCCTGCTTAATACATCAACATAAAAAAGCCTAATTAAAAATAATAGTTTTGGGGCCAGCATTGTGGTTCCAAGGACTAATCTTCTGCCTCCAAGCACCGGCACCTCCAAGCAGCCGGTTTGTGTCCTGGCTGCTCTACTTCCCTTTCAGCTCCCTCAGCTCCCTGCTTGTGGCCTGGGAAAGTGGCAGAGAATGGCCCAAGTCTTGGGATCCTGCATCCAACTGGCAGACCCAGAAGAGGCTCCTGGCTCCTGGCACCTGCCAGTTCCAGCTGTTGGGGTCATCTGGGGGGGGTGAACCAGCAGACAGAAGATTTGTCTCCTTCTCTTTGTAAATCTACCTTTCCAATAAAAATAAATAAATAAATCTTTAAAATAATAATTTCAGCTAGACATCAGTCTTGTAATTCTTACTACTAATGCGCTTAGGATTTCATTAATATGAATTAAAATGTTACTGAAAACATCAGAATTTTAAGAATCTGTGGAACAAAGACTATATAAAATTTCTATCCGAAAATGTTAATATACTTTCTTAAACTACTTCTAGGCAGAAAATAGAACTTTTAAATGCAATCTGTTCGTTAGAAAACACTATCACTTAACTGCGAATTATCGAAGGAGCTACTACCAGCTTAACTTTTTTTTACATGAATAAAGACATCACTCCCTCTTCTAGAAAAGTTTTTTTTAAATAACCCCTATGTTTAAATTCCAAATACAGAAAACTATCTATCTTAATGGACAATATTATTAACACACAAAAACGACTTTGCTTTGTATGGACTGGCTATTAAAGTTTGCTAATACAGCAAGAAATTCAATACTGCACTTCAGTCCAATTCAACAATTGGCTCAAATCTGATCACAACCCTGGGGCCACTGAACTAATTCTGTCGTACTAATGAAGAGGCTGTGACACTCTGAGAAGCCAGGACACAGAGGATAATGCTGTTGCCCGGGAGTTCGTTCCTTCTCCCAACCGGACAGCATTCATTCTGCCAGGAATAGCAAAATGGATCCGCCAGCCTCTTCACGAAGGGGGTGGCGAGCTTCCTGGCAGCAGGTGTGTCCTGTGGAGTGTCATCTGGCTGTTTCTACCCAGGCCCTCCTCAATGTCCTACCAGGCAGGAGATCTGGAGAGCAGAGTGGGCAAAATGGGCTATGCTTGCCAGTTGTAGGAAACTGGCCTTCCTGTGTGTAGGCCTAAATTTAGGCAGCACGGACAGTGCCTAGCTGCAGCGGTCCCTGCTGGCTTCCTTAGAACCAGGGGCTCCAGTGTTGGTGTGCACCAGCGTTACTAAGAGGGCCTGGAAAAGCAGGGCACGGGAGCCTAACCACCCTTGAGCCTCAGAGGGGGCTCTGGAATGGGGTTCCCAGCCCACTGCTGGGTCACTGAAAACACTGCCATGTCGTTCTGTGTTAGGATTCTGTCCTCTTATCAATGCTTGTGATAGGACTCTGACACTGGAAAGAAATCTGCTGGTTTTTTTCTTCCTCAGGAAGGAAAAGGCAGACAAACCAATTACAGGAAAGAGGCTTCCTCAGAGCCAAGCATTGTGGTATGGTGGATTAGGCCGCTGCCAGAGATGCCAGCCTCCCATAGAAGTCCCAGCTACTCCATTCCTGACCCAGCTCCTTGCTAACGTGCCTGAGAAAGCAGCAGAGGACGGTCCGAGTACTCAGGTTCACCCAACATAGACCTAGATGGAGTTCCTGACTTCCGGCTTTGGCATGGTCCAGCCCAGCTGCTGAGGCCATCTGGGGACAGAACCAGTGAGCAGAACACCTCTCTTCTTCCTAGAACACTTCTAGGCTCCTGGCTCAGAGCCTGACACAGGGGAGGACTTACACAGTCATCAAACACATTCGTGGCTGAAAACCAAGTTAGGGACATAAGCCATGAGTGAAATCCTTCTAAAACCAGTTCCCGGGGTTATTTTGCTACTATTTTTGATCTTCACTATTGTCAACATGCTAGTGATTTTTTTTTTCTATTTTGCATTTTAAACTGCCAAAACAAAGTATCACATGCCAAGACTTTATAAACGAAATGGGATTCATGGGAGGAGCAGGAATCTGAGCTGTCAGTCTTTCCCAGGAGAAATCAGGTGCCTTAGAAGGGGCCCATGAAAAGTGGCCTTAGTGCCAAATACAATGTCACATTTCGAAATGGTTCTGGGGAAGTGTCGATTAAAACTACCTTTGTAGAAAAAAAGAAAATCCCTTAGTGGACCAGGACAAGAGCCACAAGGGACTCCAGAGCCATTGGTTCCTTCCCTTTGTGGCAGCTTCCATTTGGCTGAGCTAATGAGAGCTAGGTCTGCGGAAACTGCCTAGCCAGCCCTACCCCCACCTTGCCTGCCGTGGGGTGGTACAGTTGTGTTCACGGTGACCCTACTGACTTTACTGGGGTTTCCAGACAGCCCCTGTGGTGCCAGGAGGGTGCTTGCAGTTACCCAGAGCATAAACCCCTTATTACCATGAAGGGCTCAAGGGTTCTCCATTATTTGGAAAATTACTGTACTTGAAGACAGGATTTTGAATGAAAAGCAAATGGCCAGAAATAGGGAAGAGCGGGAAATGAAGAGGCAAGTCAGTCCCCTTGCTCACACGGGCAGGCAGGCTGCAGACGCTGCATCTCCACATGTGGGTGCCGGCACTGCTGCCAGCTGAACAGCCGAACCCGAAAACCCGAAATCCACAAAGCTCGGAAAGCTGCCACCTGCTGACCACTGTGGGTCAGGGATGCTCCATCTGGCAAGGGCTTCGTGCAAATATCCCCAAATCCAAGGCAGGGAGGAAATCTGAAATCTGAAGCACTTCTGGTCCCCCTCATTCTGACGAAGGATCAACCTGCCTGACTGAATATGCTCTGCATAATTATTTACATATTTCTTTACATTTCCTCACTCCTCTGCTGCATCCTTTTGGGAGCCGAAAACTGCCAGGTTCTGTCATTAGCACATGTTGTAAAACTAAACTTACAAATCTAATTCCAGTAGTTACAATTTTCAACAGATTTAAAAGATCTAGTTGCTTTTGTATGCAATTCATGAATTGGGCAGCACCTCACTTAGGGCGGTGCTGGGGAGAGCGGAGCAGAGGAGTGAGGTTTCATAGGGCAGAAAGGGCAGAAGAAAAGAAGACAAAGGGGGTGGCTGTTTCAACGTCACTTGGATCACGGGCTGTGAACATTGGGCTGTGGAGAAAACTGGCCCATGTCATAGCTGAGTGTTCACGGGGCACCCGGCACTAAGCGATTCCATTCCGGTTTGGCACAGCAATGACCTCTTACAAGGCCAACGAAATAGCACCACAACACCACGAAGGTGGGAAAGCGGCTGGACAGGCAGCTCCTAATGTACGAGGTTCTCTTAAGCAGGTCACCGCGCTTGGCAGGACCTGCAGACGCGGCCGAGGAGGACCCGGCACAAGCCTGGACTTCCTCCACTTGCACCTGGGATGCCCGCAGCGGCCAAACTCAACAACCCGCGCTAGCATAAAGTCCCAGGCCCCAGAACAGGGTCCTTCCCGCCCACTCACCCCGGGCCTGGCCTTCAAGCCGGACACCCTCAGGCAGCGGTGCCCAACGCTTCCTCGGCCACCATCCCAGTCCTTCCTGTACTGCACTGCAGTCCGCTCCCCGCTGCACCTGGCGCCCAGCCTCCCAGACCCCGGGCAGCTCAGGGCACAAACGGCACACCTAGGCCACCTGTCACACGGTGACCCCTGGGTAGCCGACACGCGGCAACAGCTCCTTTCCACGCGTTAGGAAGGCAGTCTCCCTCAGGAGCGAAGCCCCCTGCAGCACCAGGGCCCTGGCAGCTTCTCCTCGGTCGGGGAAGCTCTGGCCTCGGCCCACGACCTCCTCGTCCCTCAATGTCAGCCCCTCGCAGACCGCTCCCGCGCACGCGGACACCGGCGTCCTGGACAAACCCGACGCCCGTCTCTCCGCCCCATGTTTTTTTCCTTCACATAACCTCGCGTTCGCATCTCCCCCAGGAAGGGGAACGCACACAGCGCCGCCTCCGCAACCTCTGAGTTCCTTGGCCAGCCGCACGCACGCCTTTCCCGCGCAGTCCCCGGCGTACCTGTCCGGTCTGCGGCTCCCACCCCTCCGCCTTCGCAACGCCATTCCGCCGAGCACCTATTCGCACCTCCGCGCCACCGTAGTTCACACAAAGTCCACGCTGGCCCCTCCCCCCGCATGCGCAGAGGCCGCGTTCGGCGTACCGCGTCTCTTAGCAACCACTTCGAGTCTCCCCGCCAGGGGCGGAGCCTCGGAAGCCTCAGCGGGGGTGGGGGAGGGAAGCCGCGGCAGGGGAAAGCGGGTGGGACCAATCAGAGATGAATCCTAACCCGGAGCGGCACGCCCCCTCCAACTGTCGCGAGGACGCAGACAGCTTTACGGCAGGCAGGGGGTGGGGGCTGCCGGGGTAAGGAGGGGAGAAGGAAGCAACCAACCAACCAGTGGCCCCCACCCCGCACCCCCACCCACCCCGGGCCTGGTTTACGGCTCCGGGCTCGGGCTCCAGGGCGGCCGCTGATTGGTCGCGGAAGGCTTGGTCCCATCCCAGTGACCCCAAAGTGCTGGAGGGAGGGGGCGGGGGTGGCCCGGTGCAAAGTGCATCCCGAAAGCCCCCCGTCCGGAGACCCCGCCGCTGGCCCTGCGGCCCCCTGGTGACCCGGTACCTCGCTGTCCCGAGCCCTCCCGAGTCCTTCCGTAGCTGGAAGCCTCCGGCCCGGAGCGCGGCAGCCCCCTGCTCGGAGCCCCTGGACCGGGACTGCCCCCCCAACCCCACATACACACACACAGCCGAGCCGGGACTTCCTCCCTGCACCCCGGCCCCGGGGCCGCCTGGATGCTGTGCGGGTGGGGGCCGTGAGGCAGCGAGGAGGCACCCGGGGCCGGCCCTGTCTGGGGGTGTTTCTTCAATGGAGAAGTTGGTGAGTGTGGCGGAGGCTGAGAGGAGGCAGAGACGCGACAGCTGAGCAGACAGGTAAAGTCAGGTAGCTCCCTCAGGGCAGCGGGCAGCGGAGCCTCCCCTGCCCCGGCCGCTGCACCACTCGCCGGGGGCTTGTTTTCCAGGTTGGAGCTGGCTGGGGAAGACACGCGCGAGCTGAAGGGGGTCTGCCCACCCACCCCCCGGAGAAGCCGCGGGCTGTGCGCCTGTGACCAGCGCCCCTCATCCAGGTAAGCAGCCTTGTTGATTCCTGGCCCCCACCTCCTCAGGCGCGGCTCGTGTTTTCGGGGAGTTGCCCGGGAATGCACCCCCCTTGCCTGACCCAGGAGACAGAACTGCCCACGCGTGATCCTAGCCACGTTGATAACTTCCCTGGGCTGTGGACAGCTGCCCTCCCCCCTTGCCCGGTCCCTCTGTTTCCGTGTTTTGCATTAACTGGTGTGGCTTTGAGACCTTTTGTCAGTAGCTCCTCCTCTGCTCTCCTAGGAATTCTTCAATGCCATGTTGATTGCTTGTTAATTCTGGATGACTCTGCTTTTTAATTAAACCCACACTTTAGGGATTTCCCCCCAACTTCTTCCTGTATCCCCTTTTCTCTGTCTCCAAAAAAAAATCTTTTGGGTGTCAGCTGACAGCGGTTTGGTACAAGAAGGTAAACTAGTGGCTTGTCTTGGAAAATAAATTTTTTTTTCATTTTTACTTTTTGCTGGTAAAAAGCAAACCTTGTCATCCCCTGTGGGAGCACTTACATGTGAGTCCCATTGGGGCTTCTGCGTGTGACACTTACAGACGGGTTGTCAGGAGATAAATAAGACTTGTTCTACCTCCAGTGTTCTAGAAGAACTGATGAACATGTACACGATGTGTTGCCCTTTGACACTCAGAAATTTCCTGAAAAGAGAGGGACGTTTTGATGTGTTGAGGTATATGGAGTTGATTTCGGCATTCTTCGTAAGGAGATGACTTCCTACAAAACCCTTACTGAGGATTCGCTAGATTGAAAGGTGCTGCCGCCCTCTGGAAGTTGAGTCCTGGGAAGTTTAGGGCACTAAGGTGGCTCCTCAAGAGGGCTTGCAGGCGGGGGGGGGATGGCACCTGTCGGCCAGGAGGGTGACTTCTGCCACCGCAGCGGGCGTGGGGAGCAGCCTGTGAACCTCAGGGTTTTAGTAGTCCCCATCATCGGGGCATTTTTTAGCGCAATGAAGTACTTAGAAGCAATTCCGAATTTTGGTTTATTCTGTCCTGCCGGAGTTTGTGCCTGTTGCCCAGTGTCTTCACTGCTTCTGCTCTTACTCGCAATGTGGCTGAAGATATTTGGGGGTTGGCAAGTTCTGCAGGTCTGGGACTCGGGTCCCCCAAGGGAGACTGTAGGGTTAACGGACTCAGACGTGCCTGCTGGCCTCTTTCTCAGCACCCTTGGAGCTGTGTGTGGGGACCAAGGGTGACTCACCTGCCCCATTGGAACTGAGCAGAAATCTATAAAGTGAACTTCTGTTGGTCAGTTGTGATTTATGTATTGAGAGACTTGTCAGGGTTAAAAATGCTGAAATACCCAAGGGGTATTTCTGAGATCAACAGGGATGTTTGCTTACTTTTAAAGCCTGCTATGTTAAATTTTCCTTTTTTTTTTTTTTTTTTTTTTAATTTCCTGCTTTGGGCTTAGCCTACAACCGAGGCAGTAGATTGGGATGTTTCCGTTGCCATGGGGTTTTGTCACCTCAGGGGTTAGGGGAGGGACTGTGGCCTGTCCGACTTGAAGGTAAAGAACAGACATCACTTTCGCTGGGGTCCAGCCAGGTCTTTAGCTCTGCTTGAGTAATATTCCATGCATTCTCTCAGCCTCTCAGTTTTTCTAAGATTAGGGATTTGATATAAAAGTCATCAGTGTCTGTCGCATTTCTAATGTTACCCTGATTGAGAATGTTTGCTCTTGGTTATGCCAAACATCTAAAATATTTGAATATTTATTTACCAACATGCTCAGTTAGGTAGATTTTTTTTTTCATATGTATTAAATCTGTTGCCAACTTACTTGGCTTTTAGGGGGAAAAATCATCTGGTTTACTTGCTAACCAACAGATTAATAATCACGCAAGAGAATGATGGATTCTGTTATTGCTCAGGAGATGGGCAGACAGAGCTTCCAACCTCAGGTTTCCATCCAGATGCCCACAGTGGCCAGGACTGGGCTAGGCTGAAGCCGGGAGCTCAGCCCAGGTGGGGCAGGGTCTCACCTGCCAGAACCATGGCTGCCTGAGGCGTTGGTGCTGGGCACCACCCGGGGTCTAACCCAGGCACTTCGCTGGTGTCCTAACCTCTGGGCCATGTACCTGCTCTGAGGTAGTGGATCTCAATCGAGGACAGTCAGTGATAATGTGTTTGGTATACTGTAGCTAATACTTGCATTTTTTTTTAATACTGCAAGTGATGTCATTGTTCGTTATGAAACAGGATATGTACGGTATGTCTTTATTTTGTTCTCATGTAACTTTGGTGGCTTAGGGGTTTTCATAGCATCCCTAAAGTGTCCAAGGCTAGTTGATGCTATCAGGGCCACAAGGCAGAGTTTTCAGCCTGTCGGTTCACACTCAATCCAGGGTTGTGGGGCCAAACGCATCCGCTTGGTAGCATGGTTGTCTCCTTTCCTGACACTTCCTGGGCGGTGCCTAGGGACACCTCAGATGTGATCCCGTACGTCCCTCCCAGCAAGACCTTGGCATTCATAGCACCTGAGACTGAAGCTTCGCTTTAGATCTGGATAAGTGAGTTTGAGATTTTCCTCTATTGCCTCATCCACATGTCGTGAATCTGTGCTTTTGCTGGAACTCGGGTGAGTCATAGATAAGTTGTGGATGATAAATCCTTAAGGTATATGGACGCCCATTAACTTGGAGGAAGTGCAGATTCCTTGTCCTGGAACATCCCCATTTGGCTGTGTGGAGTGATGCTAGCATAGTGCATTCACTTGATTGGGGGCCATTGGCCCCTCAGCGCCTCGGGAGGGCTGACAGCGATTCTGAGAGCGGTTGGAGTGTGCGGGCTTTATTTCCTTGCCGGCAGGCATCTTTGGCATCTTTGTTTACTCAGCAGTGAAGCAAGTGATTGCGTTGTGTCTTGTTGATGGGAAGTCCAAAAAGCCTGCTTCTAATTTATATTGCTTAATTGAAAAATGTGTAGACTTTTTAATATTCATACCTGTTAAGTTGTGCTAAAGGAAATTTGGGACTTGTGACCTCCTTGGTGAGGGCTGTGGAATTGCAGGCCGATCTTAAGTGGACTTTGCTGTTATTTTATTCTTCACTCTGTTCCATCAGCATGGGCTTTTTTGGTCTTTTAGCTATTTGAAATGAGGTTCTGGCTTAAGCCAAATGAAGTTCACTTGGTATCTATATGGAAATTAGGTGGTAAGGTATTTAAATCCCTCAATTTACCTTAATTTAATGTGGTCCCGAGTATAAAAGCTCTAAGCCTGCGTTGCTTTCCATGGGGCCCAGGTAGAGTGGAAAGCATGCATGAGCCAAAGGCCAGCGTGGTGTTAGCATGCCCGGTGAGGCCCCGCATCAGAGGGACATGCACTTTGGAGGTGTGGTCATGTGTTCGTGTGCCCTGTGGTTTGCTTCCTGCCTGGCATCTGGGGTGGCATTTCCACACTTAGGTGCGCCCTGAGTCCACAGTCATCGTGGACTCAAAGCTCCGACAGTGAGTGGGAGCCGTCTCCTCCCCACGACAACTTCCCTGTTAGGTTTTTAGGCCTGCACGCTCTCAGGGAAGACCAGCTTTTTCTCATTCTCTCATCCCTCTGTGGTTTCTAATAGGCATCTTCACCCTTGCGCACTGTGTTTGCTTTTCAATTACAGACTCCTCCTCCCTCCCCTCCCCTGCCTTTTTATCTGTACACACATGAATAGCTGTGTACTCCGTTAGATGCAGATCTCATAAAATAGCCCAGGGAACATTAATCACCTGACTGTTGGGATGTTTTTCTAGTAAATCATTGTCCTGGGTGAGTCCGAGCAATACAGTGGCCAGGAGTCATGGGTCTGTCCCACGTGCCTTGCCCTGTCAATAGCAGCACAGCAGGCACGTGCAGGGAGTGTGGCACAGCCTGGTTATCATGCCTGGTACTGTCAGTTGGAACGCAGACCACTCTGAAGACGTCACCCGGGAGTGGCAGCTGTGGCTGAGCCTAGCCAGGCGTTCGGAGGACGCTGGCGTGTCTGACTAGGGGGCTTGTGTGGGGTCATCGCAGGCTTCTCTTCTCTGTACGCCTTGCTTGTGGCAACAGGTAACAGTCCCTTCGCTGTTCTCACACCAAGCCTTTGTCTGCTCACATCCTCAGCGCCCCGCTCCCCTGCCTTCCTCCCCATCACGCCTAGCTGTCTGCTTGGAGGCGGGTAGTCGGACACCAGTGGCACCCTTAGCCACCCGAAGGAACCTTATGGGAAGGCAGCAGGCATGGGGGCACCCCAGGAATTGTTTGTCCTGCGAGAAACAAGCACAGGTTCTTTCGTGGGGTTTTATGAGACCCATTAGGTGGAGACCGGATCTCTATCTTAAAAATACACTTCAGCTTAGGGTTACAGCAGAATCACGAGGCTGGAGCGGAGGCCAGGTTCCCTGTAGACACTGAGGGACGAGCCAACTGTTACCTCCTTTGAGGTGAACACCAGCCACAAACACTTGGATTTCAACAGAGCGTTCATTTCTCCTCCTTTTTCAGTTGAGTTATTTGTTGTTGTTGTTTTTTTTTTAAGATTTATTTATTTTATTGGAAAGGCAGATAAACAAAGAGGAGGAGAGACAGAGAGGAAGATCTTCTGTCAGATGAATCACTCCCCAAGTGGCCACAACAGCCGATGCTGCGCTGATCCAAAGCCAGGAGCCAGGAACTTCTTTCTGGGTTTCCCACGCGGGTGCAGGGTCCCAAGGCTTTTAGCCATCCTCGACTGCTTTCCCAGGCCACAAGCAGAGAGCTGAATGGGAAGTGGAGCTGCTGAGATTAGAACTGGCGCCCATATGGGATCCCGGTGCGTTCAAGGCGAAGACCTTAACCATTACACTATTGCGCCAGACCTCCGTTGAGTTATTTATATTGATATGAAGTCACCGATAATTATTTCACACCATGACCCTCTGGGTTGGCTGCCCTGTCCCTCTGTCATGCTGTTCTGGAGCCCTTCCTTACTGCCTGGCACATAAGATAGGCCCAGGCATGGCTTCCGGATTCCTCCACCCCAGTCTTAGAATTGACCACAGCATTCTGCCTGTTCCACACATTGCCATGTAGGAGTTCTCCTGACCACAACTAGCTCGTCTGTTTAGAACAGTAGAGTTCTAAATCCAATTCCATGTCTAGGTCCAAGTTGGCCAGCTTTTTGCCTTCCCCAGAGAAGTTTGACAAGAGAAAAATCAGATAAGAAAAGAGGAATGGGTAAATATAGACCCTTCCCTGGGCATTGACTGAGAATGCTGTATGGCCAACAGTCCATGCCCTGTGGCAGGCAGGAGGCCTGGCCCTGTCTATGTGATGTGTAAGTGACAGAAGGCTTGGCACACAGCGCATCTCAGCAGAGTGGCTGTTCTCCTGTATTTAATTCCCGGAGTGCTTCCAGCCTGCTGTGTCGAAGCCGCTTTGCATGTGTCCTTAACTCTCCCAAAGCTTCCAGAGTTAGGGTGTCACAAGCAGGGAGAAAGAGCGTGAGTTATGGGAAGCTGGCCCGATGCCTGAATTTGATGTCTTTCTAGAGGAAAAAGTTTCGAATTGATGGACTTGGTGACTTCAGGGCAAACTTAGAACTGGAATTCAGACACACATCTGTTCCTGTGGATTTGTTCCTCGCCTTGGCCACCTTGTTCGTTGAATGCATGAGTGTTCTCGTTGTAATCCTGTTGAGGAGGAATTGGTGATGAATGCCATTGTTAGAAACAAGCAAAGCCAGTCTGGAAATCCTTTCTCGGTAGGGGAAGAATCCGTGCTCACCTACAAAGCCTGAATATGTGGTTTGTTATTTTCTTCACTCAATCTTTCCCATAACATTGCAGTCTGTGAGGGTTGGGTGGGGTGGGGAAGGGATCCTAAAAAGAAATTGTGTTTGATTTCCTCTTGAAGCTCGGTGGAGTTGACGAGGTCATTTGGTCAGAGAATGGATCTGAGCTCTCTGCTCGCTGGGCTTGCGGAAACGTAAGCCCGTGCAAGGGCAGGACGTGGGGACAGCCCTGGTTCTTCATGGTTACCCAGGACTTTCCCACAGTTCTTGTTCTGTTTGCAGGCTGGGCCCCGCTGAACGTCTCCCCACCATGCTGTATGTGCACCATGGTCCCTAGGCGTCCACAGCTCAGAAGGGACACTCTTCCATCAGGTAAGGCGGTTCAGGGTCACCAGGCACCCATGCTGTTTTGGGAGACAGCCTTTGCTGGTTTTAGATTTGCCTTCACATCAGCTTGGCATACGCTAGGAGAAAATTCAGCGTTATTTTTACAGTGCTTTTCTTCTTGGTAGAACTCAGGTGGGTTTAAGATCAGCATGCTATTGAAAAGGGAGCTGTGGAACGCAGTGGTTCTGAGTGTGCAGTCCTGGCTTCCCGGGCTCCTGCTCGTGAGGTTTAGCGTTTATAACACTGAGAATAAGAAAAGGCCGCTCCAGACAAGATTCTTTATTTGCTTTCAAAACTTCTCCGATAAGAGACTTAATTGTAGTTACGTAATTAAGCGAAAGGATGGGGAACTCTTCTGGAGGAAGCAGATTGTTAAATCTCTCCCAGTTTTTTCTGAGGAAATAGCTCCCCAGCAGTCACATTGGTGAAAGTCGCTCCCTTGGTAGTGGTGCTCGGAGCTGGATGCAGACCCTGGTACTACACTGGGCACACCCGCAGCTCCCTGGGTGCTGTGACTGTGCCAAGCTGACCCAGGCTGGGCTACGGCATACCTGCAGCTCTCTGGGTGCTGCAACTGTACCAAGCTGGGCTTATGGCACATCTGCAGCTCCCTGGGTGCTGTGACCGTGCCGAGCTGCACCAGGCTGGGCTACGCAACACCCACAGGTCCCTGGGTGCCGTGACCGTGCTGAGCTGAACCAGGCTGGGCTACGCAACACCCACAGGTCCCTGGGTGCCATGACCATGCCGAGATGACCCAAGCTGGGCTTACTTGTCCCTAAGTGCAGGCAGTTATAAGAAGTTTTGCCAGATTATCCTGAGATATCTAACCCACATTTGAGAACGAAGTGTCTAAAGGGCTTTATCACATAATTTTTTGTCCTTATTTTTAGAAGCAGGAAGTACTAATTGAGAGATGAGTTTAATCTTTTTCTGCAAATTAGCTCAATAGAATAACTTCTTAGAACCTTGTTAGTTTAGGTTTCTGTGTATACTGTACTTAAAAGCCTGCCAAAACTGGTTTTGTGCACACCTCCACTCGCACACACAGAATCCATGATTGGAATGTTGTCAGTGTGGACATCTCATTCATGTTGGGCTTGCGCACAGGTCTCTTGGGGCCCAGTGAGTGTGGGGATTCGGTGTACCACTTTTTCCTTTAAAATAATTTAGTCACAGTGCTCACCAGCATCTTATTTGGACTCTCAGAGTTTTAAAATATATGATCCTGCTGCTTTGATTATTTTTGGAATGAAACATCTGGAAAACAGAGTTTAGAAAAATGCAGAGTGGCTGTTCTAGTAACCCAAGGTGGAAACACCAGTAGAAGGAAGAGCAGATGAACAAGCAGAAGCAGCACAGTCCCGGTGTTGGATTCTCGTTTTCTTCATCCGGCCACTTCTCTGCCCAGCCTGTCACACTCTGAGCTGAAAATAAGATGTTCCGATACTTCAGAAAGTTACGCTGAAGGTTTTTGCTTTTTGTTTGTTTTTGGTTTTATTTATTCTTTTTCTTAATTTGCTGCTCATAATTGTCTTTAGTTTTCATAGCGTATGGTTTCATACTCCGTATGTATTATTTGAAAGGCAGATTTACAGAGAGAGAAATCTTCAGTCCACTGGTTCACTTCCCAGATGATGGCAGCCGCTAAAGCTGAGGCAATCCAAAGCCAGTAGCATCTTTGGGATCTTCCACATGGGTGCAGGAGCCCAAAGACCTGGGCTGTACTTCTCTGCTTTCCCAGGTCATAAGCATGGAGCTGGGTCAGGAAGTGGAACAGTAGGGACACGAACTGTGCTGCCCCCTCCCCCCGTATGGGATGCTGGCACTGTGGACAGAGCATTAGCCTGTTTTGTCCCTGTACCACCACCCCTAATATTCCCTATTTCTTCACTTTGATCTCTGATAGAATCCTTAAGCATTTGTGGCTTACACCTCCATGGGGCCTGAAGTAAGTCAGAGGTCCTGAGGTCCATGCTCCCCTGTCTTGCTACCTGGTGTTACCTCCCGTTTTACCTAAAATCGTGCAGCTGTGCTCACAGGCTGCTTGCTTTGAGTTTTCAAAAGGGTGCAGGAGAGTTTTCTTTTTTTTTCCCAAGGGTACAGGGGTTTATGCCAGGGTTTTTTCTGCAACCATTATCGTCCTAGAGAAATTACCAACAGTTTCGGGGTCAGCGAGTGCACGTTCATTAGTCGTACAGATTGTCACTACCAAGGCTTTTGGATTCAGACAACAAACAATGCTGTACGCTTTTATCAATGTCCTCTGTGCATCTGCCCTTACAGGCTGATCCCTGGGACCTCATGAACCCTCTGTGACAAGCGGACTCAGCTAGGATGTTACACCACCACTGTCGAAGGAACCCTGAGCTCCAGGAGGAATTGCAGATCCAGGCCGCCGTGGCCGCCGGGGATGTTCACACGGTACGGAAGATGCTGGAGCAAGGCTACTCTCCGAACGGCCGTGACGCCAACGGCTGGACCCTGCTGCATTTCTCCGCCGCACGAGGGAAGGAGAGATGCGTGCGAGTCTTCCTGGAGCACGGAGGTGAGTTGGCAACAGGCAAACCCGTTGCCCAAGGAAGCGCTTGAAATGTACTCCTGTGTAGTGTGTAAAGGGTGTGTGGGGCCGTATAGTTTGAATGCCCCTCTCTCACGTTAGCACTCAGCATCCTGTCTCCTCAGTGAAGAGCTCTTGCTGTTGGCAGTGAGTGAGATTTGATGGGAACCAGTTTGGGGAGCGGGCTTTGCCATGTGCAGTGGTCATTTCTTCATGGCCTGCCATGTCCAGGTTAGCCCAGCCTCTCCTCAGGGTTCTCAGGTTAGCCCAGCCCCTCCTCGGGGTTCCCAGGCACCTTTATTACAGAAGAGACTGTGGTTCCTGCAGTTTGTAGAAGGACCACGTCCTTCCTGCTGATTCTTGCTTAATCGGAGATACCTCGGCCAGGCCCCAGGGAGCACTGTGGGCCTCAGGACATCTCGGCCAGGCCCCGGGAGTACCACGGGCTTCAGGACCCCCTGCCTTTTCTCTTTTTTAACCTCTCTTAATTCTGGGAGCTTTCTTTTAGAGTGTTTGGGAGCACCTCTTCTAGCACTGTGTCTGACTTCTAGGTCTCCTCTGAAGGAGACTGGCGATTTGAAGTCCACTTTTGTGTTAATGTACACAGCTGCAGATTACATTTGACGTTTGACGTTTTAAGTTTTAAAGCTAACAGTTGCCCTGAATAGATTCACTTTTCCCCCTCCAGTTGAACTGTGAGCTCCTTTCCTTTCCTTAAAGATGGAGCCTGTGTATGTTACCGTCTGTTCATGCACTGTACCCCTCGGTTCCAGGGTCAGGCAGCGGGACTGGCACGTTCCACCTGTGCCACTTGAGGGCCTGCAGTGGTTTGGTTTCATTCCTCAGGTGTGCTTTTACTAGCCTGGCCAGACTTGCCTGCATCCTAAGTGCAGAAAACATTACAAGCCCCACAGTTCTCCTGAGGACCGTGTAAATTATGTGCCTGTACAAATACAAAGGCTCAGAGCTCAGACTAAGTGCATGGAGCAATGCTAAACCTGAGCCTGGGGCTAGTCCCACATCCCAGGGCCCTGAAGTGGCAACCGTATGCCTGGAGCAGTTGGCCATCAGCAGGACCCAGACTGGGGCTGGCTGGTATGTGCACAGTAGCTGCCTTCATGTCTTCACCTTACGAATTGCAAAACCTCACTTGTGAACTTAGGGGAGTTGTTAGCAGAAAGCCAGCAGAAGCCCTGGGGAAACAAACAAAGCAAAATGGAACCCTGAAAGGTAGATGTCAGATCAGAACCTTGAGTAAGTTCTGGAAGCACTTAGTCAAATCAAAGACCGAGACCCTGGCTCTCACTGTGTATTCCATCCAGTCCTGTTATTTTTTGTTTTTGCCAGCCACCCTCTAGGAAAAAACAAAAAAGGAATTTTAAACAAGTTCAGATATTCATGTAATATGTGAACATTGTCACCTTTAAAAACATAAAATCCATCTTCAAATAAAGTGCAAGTACAGCCCAAGTCCCTTGCACGAGCCCAGTCTGTGTGCCTACTGCTGCGTGGTGGAAGCAGAGGGGACAGTCTCATTTACTGCTACACCTCCAGGTTCTTTCCTTTCACTTTTTTCTTTTCTTTCTTCTTCTTCTTCTTTTTTTTTTTTAAGATGTACTTATTCATTTAAAAGGCAGAATTACAAAGAGAGGGAGAGACACAAAGAGAATGGAGACAGAGATCTCCCATCCTCAGGTTCACTTGCCAAGTGGCCACATGGGTACAGCTGAGCCAGGCCAGAGCTGGGACCCCCTGGAACTTGTTTGCATCTCCGATGTGGATGTGAGAGCCATCCTCCACTGCTTCCCCAGGTGCATTGGCAGGGAGCTGGATCAGAAGTGGAGCAGCTGGGACTCAAGCCTGTGCCCTTGGAACACAGGATACACTGACTTCATTATTCTACGTCACATGTTTTTTACACACTTATATGATTTCTTTACAGTCAGGATTCTGCAGACTTTTCCCATGAAAGGCAAGGGAATGAACATTTCAGGTTTGTAATCCCTACAATGGTTTCTGCTGTAGTTAGTCAGCTTCGCTGCTGTAATGTGAAAACAGCCAGACATGATATTAAACTAACAGGCATGGTTCTGTTCCAATAAAACTTTCTTCATTAAAACAATTGTGGGAGGGAGAAAAAAACCCAATGATGGGCTACTGTTTCTGAACCCTGTTGTCCTTCTGCAGGTGTTCTTGTGGATGGGAGGATGGAATTCCGTGTTGTGTATAGTGGCATACTCACACTTAACAGCTAGGTCCATCTTGATTTACATACTCGCATTCCACTCGTTTAAAGCATACACTTCAGCGGCTTTTAGTGTGTTCTTAGAAGTGGACATCTGTCAGTACAACCAGTTTTACAACATTTTTATTACTCCAAAAAGGAGTCTCATGCCAGTTCTGTAGTACTGTATGGCTACTTCATAAAAGTTCATCGAAATGGCATTTAAAAGATTAGCTGATTTTGATACAAAAGACATTTGGATATCCTGCATAGTTTTCATGTTTTCCCGTGAACTCCGTCAGAACTCCTTGTATATTCAGATATACTCTGCTCTGTTCCTTGCAGTTGTTTAAGGCTATGTTAATTAATGTGGATGTGCTAACATTTGTCAAACAGCCTCTCATTTTTTATGTTTGTCTTTGAATTAAGTTTTCTCAGCACATTTTATTTTTTAGACACACATAATTAAAAACCTGATTAAATCTACTGTACACGCTTTGGTGAGGGGGAAGCACCTGCTCTTCAGCGCTCGCTCTGACTTCCCTTCCAGAGGCGGTGGCTTTCATTCATTTCTTTAATACCCTGGAGAGTGTGCATACGTACTTGCTGACTTTCTACCTTCCAGCTTGCTCCCACTGTTTTGATTGATGAGTTTATTGGAAGGACAGTATGCCAGAGAGAAAGGGAGACACAGAAAGACCTTCCATTTGCTGGCTCATGCCCCAAATGTCTACAGCTGCTCAGGCCAGGCTAGGCAAAGCTGGGAGCCAGGAACTGCTGCCTGGTCTCCCACACAGCTGGCGTGGCCTCGTCTCCCACACGATTGGCGTGGCCCAAGCACCTGGGCCATCCTCCACTGCTTTCCCAAGTGCATCAGCAGGAAGCAGAACGACCAGCAGAGTTCCCAGAAGTTGAACCCGTATAGGATGCCAGTGTCACAAGTAGGGCTGCACTGGGTGGCTGAGCCCTCACCCTGTCCCTTCTGAAGATGTATTTATTTATTTGAAAGTCAGAGTTATGGAGACAGAGAGCTCCCATCCTCTGGTTCACTCCCCAGGGTGCCACAGCAGCAGGGACTTAGCCTTGCCCAAACCAGAGGCCATTAGCAGGGAGTTAGATGAGAAGTGGAGCAACCAGGACCCACAGCAGACCCGAATGGGATGCAGGCGTCACAGACCATGGCTTTCCCTGCTATGCTACAACACTGGCCCCTGCCGCTGCCCTGTTCTGTTTCGTTGTACCTCTTGATTGTTTTCGCATGTACTTACTGTGTTACAACAGCTAATTTTCAGTGTACGACTGTCAGACTCCACTGTAGGAGTCTCATTCACGCTGACAGGCCAGTGGTGGCCACTGTAACTTGTGTCCGTTGTTACCCTGACAGACTCCTCTGCCCGTGAAATGGTCCATGGCTTGCACAGTTCCTGGAATGTGGTTGCCCAGTTAGAACCTTGACGTGTGGATACTAAGGGTCCTCCAACAAGGTTGTGACTGACTGGGCTGGCGCCACCCCACCTTAGCAAGAGTCCCTGGCCACACAGCTTGCTTTTCCTGTGTGAAATGCTTGCCCCTTTGCATTTTTTTTAAGTTTATTTTTATTGGAAAGTTAGATATACAGAGAGGAGGAGAGACAGAGAGGAAGATCATCTGTCAGATGAATCACTCCCTAAGTGGCCACAACAGCCGCCACAGCTGCGCCAATCCAAAGCCAGGAGCCAGGAGCTTCTTCTGGTTCTCCCACTCGGGTGCAGGGTCCCAAGGCTTTGGGGAGTCCTCGACTGCTTTCCCAGGGCACAAGCAGGGAGCTGGATGGGAAATGGGGCTGCCGGGATCAGAATCGGCGCCTATATGGGATCCTGGCGCTTGCAAGGCAAGGACTTTAGCTGCTAGGCTACCACATTGGGCCTACATTGTTTTTGTTTATTTTCAGAATTATGCATCAGCAACAAGACATCCAAAGGCTTGGACTTTTATCTGTTCTTTAAAAATTGGCTTGCAGGAATTGTTCATGTGTGCCCTGTTGTGGTTTGGAGGGTGAGTGATCTCTTCCAGATTTATAGTTTCTTCACATCACAGGTTTTCGTTTTGAAAAAGCAGAGAGAGACAGAGGAAACTCCCCTTTGCTGATTGACTCCCCAGATACTGTAGCAGCTGGGGCTGCCTCGGGAACTCAAGGCAGGTCACCCCTTGGGCGGTCACTGCTGCCTGCCAGGGTCTGCATGGACAGGAAGCTCGAGACGGGACCCAGGGCCGGGTACTGAACCTCCCTTGGCATCTGATGTGGGACTCGGCCCTCTTTGCCTGCTTCCTAACTGCCAGTTTGAGATCCTGCCCCCCACTGCCCCACATTCTTTGTAAAAATACCTTGGACGTATTTGACTTCTTAGATGTTCACTTCTCTTTGATGACTTGGAAGGCAGAGTGACAGAGAGAAAAAGATCTGTCTACTGGGTTCATTCCCCAGAGAACCACAGACAGCCAGGACTGGGCCAGGCGGAGCCACGAGCCTGAATGCCAGGACTAGTTGACAGGGCCCCCTGGCTCTTGGGGTCCTCATCTGGTGTTTCTAAGAGTGCATTCCTTAGTAGGAAGCTGGGTCGGGGTGCAGGAGCTGGGCCCCAGTGCCTAGCCCTCTGATAGAGGACATGAGCAATCCCAGGGGTGGCTTACTCTGTGTGTGCCACAGCGCCCCTGTGCTGCCATGCTTGGGCAGACGTCTGTTTTAACATAGAGGAGGATATTTCCTTTTCACCTGCGGCTTGCG